ATTGCTGTTGCCATTATTTTCCAGGCTGTTGCCGATACGGATCTGAGCACCAACTATCCTCTCTTCACAACAGTCTCCTCGATTAGTGATACTAACACTGGTTACCTTGTGCACTTTCTTCAAGTCAACTCTCCACCAGGGATCGTCCCCTGCAGTGTGAGTGCAGGACCCGAGCATGTAATTTGACTCACTATTGCCATCAACAGCATTTTGAGCAGCTCCTAAATGATTGTATGTGGAAGACTGGACAGCTTCAGCTCCAACAGCGAGATTCTCTGTTCAACATAAAATAAAGTACATCTCATGCTAAAATATAATCCCATGATGGGACATTATGCTAAGTCATGTAATCGAAATGATGGATTATAGGTTTTCAAATGTTTAAATTCTATCAACAGCTTCAAACAATATTTATGTGCTATACTGACAGCACATTTCAAGCAATGAAGAAAACTCACTTGAATCACAAGAGCACTCTGATGTCTCCTTTACTGTTTAAAATATGCACAAAATGCACAAATTAATAAGCACTTAAACTATTTTTTTGTACATAAACATAAAACCAGGGCCGATAGGCATTCGCTCTGGCCACTACCCCCAATGGAGCTTCTCATTGGATAACACTCACAACGAGCACGTTCAGAGCAGTGGCGGAGCCAGGATGTTTTTATAGGGGTGGCCAGGGAGGGGCCAGCAACCAGTCTGGGGTGGCACAGAAATCGTTATTATTTCAATATAAAAATGTGATGGACTATAAAGTATTGGACTGTTTTAGTGCCTAAAACACAACTGAATACAATTAATTTCTACTAAATTGTAATTGAGATATTTGTGAATTAGATCAAGTAATGCTGAGTGAATATAACAATTTGTGTATTATTCCTCACCTCCAGGCAGAGATGTTCACAATTCTTTAACTTGGAGTCCGAGTCAAGTCTGAAGTCTTTAACCTGGAGTCCAAGTCAAGTCTGAAGTCTTTGTCGCTGGAGTCTGAGTCAAGTCTCGAGTCTTTGGTCACGAGTCCGAATTGAG